CCTGCTGAGCCTGCTTTCACACCAATATTCCTTACTATGGTTAAAGGGGTATCGAGGGAGGCCAATCACCAATGATGGCTTGTACCCGTCAACGTAGTTGACCTTTGTCAAATCGACGGAAATACCACGAGTGAATAAAGAACCCGCTCCCTGCAGGGCGGTTTGCATATCTGATTCGCCGCGACGAAGAATGTTGTGATACGTTAGAGCACTGTTACCCCTGACCTCGTCGACGATGCTCCGTACCGGGCCACTGAGTGCAGCGTGAGGCCCGACCTCTAGGACGTCCGTGACCCATTCGGTTTGGCCGTCTTCAGACATGGCTTGAAGTAGAACTGTCACAGACTCGTGGAATCGTACCGGGGAGACCATATTTGTAGTCCAGTATGTTGCACTTTGCAGCCTAGACGGGTCGATGAGTGTTCCATACGTCGATGAAAAGAACTGCGGCCTGGGATAGGGGCTCGTCCAAGGGGCTGATTGAATCTCCCCTAAGGACTTGGTGTACTCTTCAGCCATAGGTTCCATGTATCGCGAATGATATGCCAACTCAACAGCTAACTTTCGTGCAAAGATCTGGTCGTCTTTCACCATTTCGATTAATGCCTCGATCTGTGCGGCGTCTCCGCTGATGGTTTGGCTATTTTTACTGTTCATACAAGCAACTGTGAGCTTAGGAACGCCTGGAAATCCCATCTCGTTCACTCTGTTAATGGTATCTCTAGCTTTTTCAAGGTCGAGTCCCACGGCGGCCATTGTAGTTTTTGGCCCTGTAGCGGAGCGAGCAAGCTTGGCAGACATTTTTCCTATCAGAGGAACGTCAGGTCAGTATAGTTAGATATAGCGATCAAGAATAGAGAATCTACTAACCGCGCCAGTATGCAATCTTAAGGGCAGACTCTCGAGTAATAGCCCCTACTGCATAGCCCGCCGCAATTTCACCCGAAGAATGGCCCGTAACAGCTCGTGGGGTTACTCCCCAGGAGTTAATCAGGTCCACAAGAGCAACCTGCAGGACTGTGCACAATGGCTGCGAGAATTCAGCTTCATTTATTCGAGATTCTTTCGAAGTTTTTGAGAGCTCGTCTGTCCGCCACTATGTCAGCCACTCGAACCGTCGTCGATAATTGCTAATTAGGCACACAGTGGGTAGACGACTCACCGATTGCAGACCAAGAACTGCCTAATTCCTTTAGGTATGCGTCGGCCGATTGGAGGCTGTCCCTGAACACGGGGTAGTGAACCAATTCCATTCCCATCCGAGCCCACTGCGCCCCTTGGCCGGTGAAGATGAGTGCAAGCCCAGGGTCGGCGGCAACACGCTTGACTTCAAGTTTCTCTGCAAGTGTATCTTGCATTGATGTTACTGAATTGGCAACAAATGCTGTGCGCCAGTTGAAATGAGTCCTCTTAGCCGCTAAAGTGAAGGCCAGGTCATAGAACGGATCGCTAATGGGGTGTTGCTTGTAGCCATTAGCGAGCCTGGAGATGCCATCTTGGTCATGCGAACTCAAAACGATAAGTTGAGGGGATGCGCAGGCATCATTGCTAGTCGTTAAAGTCTTTGGAGCAGCTATAAGAAGATTAACATTTAGAATAATTATGAGACGAGAATATATTTCCACGGACAATCGACTCGGAACTTACAGACACTTGACAATTGAGGCACATCGACGGACCGATGAGGTGCATCATACCCATGCTCTTTAAGAAAATGATAAGCATCATCCATCACCACATGGGCATTCGTCCCCGAGACACCGAATGAGTTTATAGATACTCGACGGAGTCCCGTCTTCGTTTGCGGCCAGGGGAGCGCCTTGGTAGGAAATTTGAAATGCCACTTGTCCGGGATCTGGCTGTTGCGGTTCTCGAACCAGGCATTTGCAGGGATGATACCTCGTTCAAGTGTGAGAATGCTCTTAATGACAGATGTAATCCCGGATGCTCCCTCCGAGTGTCCGATATTGCTTTTCACGGCCCCAATGTAAAGGGGCTCTTCTGGGGACCGGTATGGAGTAAACATTTCACTGATAGCACTAGCCTCAATAGGATCCCCTACAGGCGTGCCCGTCCCATGAGCTTCGAAGAAACGCGTGGTTGATGGGTCAAGACCAGCTTGAGCGTATGTTTTCCGCATCAGCTCCGCTTGTGACTCCTTTGCGGGTGCTGTAAGCCCGGGCGAGTGCCCGTCATGGTTACAGCCCGAATTTCTAACAACCTTTGAAATCCCCAAATGTTAGTAAACATCGCAATTCTCATAATCTGCATGTGACCTAGGAGCCCTAAAGGCTCGTTAAACGCTTTACTTACAGCACGAATAGCTAGTTAGACAATAACAGGTCAGTATCTTTCAGAGCAACATTAGAGCATAGCTAGAGGCCAAGAAGAACTCACTATCTCCATCACGAAGAGCGTCCGACAATCGCTTCAGAACAATGGCGCCAATGCCTTCACTTCTACCATATCCGCTAGCTCTTTCGTCAAAGCTATACGAAACTCCATCTCGGTTTAAAACGCCGAGGGCATTTAGCTCGAGTCCCATTTCGGGAGAGAGGATCAAGTTAGTGCCACATGCGATGGCCTAGATGCACATATAATCAGCCTGTGTAAATTGGTGAGAATGTAACTGGTTTTTGATCATACCATATCGCAGTCTCTCGCCTTTAAGCCAACGATAGCCTGGTGAAGGGCCACCATACTACTCGAACAAGCAGTGTCGACGCTCAGCGCCGGACCTTGGAGATCATAGAACCAGGAGACACGCCCGGCAAGTGTGCTCGCAATTGTACCGGATCCCGTATACATCATTGGGACATCGACATCCTTGATTAAGACATCCCGATAATCCCATATAAAAGATCCCACGTACTTGGACGCCAAATGTCAGTCTTTCTGTTCTGAATATGTAGCAGCAAACCAGAGTTATAGACTCTCAAAGCTGGCCATGAAAGGATGTAAATCTACTTACAACTCCTGTCAGTGAGCCTTTCACGGCGTCCATTGTGAGGCCAGAATTTTCAAGAGCCGTATAGACGCATTCAAGAAGCATCCGCTGTTGAGGGTCCATGCTCGCGGCCTCGGCGGGCGTGACGGAGAAAAAAGGGGCATCGAATGCTCTGACATTTCCCTGGATAAAATGCCCTTCCTTTCCACCAATCTAGAAATTTTACGTAAGTTACAATGGCACAATTGCGGAGGGATATAACAAACAATTCCATCTCTATGGTTATCTGGGTGCCAGAAAGCAGCTGAGTTGTATCGTTCTTTTGGTACGGGGCCTCTAGCAGACCTCCCGGCCAGGAGAAATTCGTAAAACTTCTCTGGAGTATCGCCGTCACATGGATACTTAGCATCTAAGCCAATGACGGCAATGGGTTCAACAGCCATCGTATCAGATTTGCTCTTTAGGCGCACTTCCGGAACCTACGTCGGTAGCTAGATCCAGGTTGAAGTCCTAAAATCCTGATATATAGTGCCGGCACTTTGTTTAAGAGCAGGATGTGAGATTCGGGTAGTACAAGAAGTATTTAGGGGATAGAAGACCGAAGCAAAGTAGAGCTTCGGATCTTCAACCAGCTCGCTCTGATTGCTTTTAACATCGATCTACTCGCCCTTACGACGACCTACCCATTGCCATCTAGGCGCGAATGCCTGCTAGCTCTCTTCATCTGCCCTGTACATGAGCTAGTTTGTAAGTCGAAGGATTCATCGCAAATCTAATTATGCCCCTAGTGCTGCAGTGTGAGTATGAGAACCATTAACTTGTCTGAAATACGAGGGCAAATAAGCTGCCTCTGCCTGAGCAATATACTCCACTCCATAAGTGCAAAATTGGGGATTTCGTCTCTTAGTAATCCTAGTGAGATAGGATTTCTAGTCGTCAGACCGTATTCCTACGTACAACTATCGTTTTAACGTGGGAGCTCATCACTGGGCAGAGGGTGGCAAACGACGTCAGTAACAGCATTAGCCCCGCTTAGATAAATGTCCTAACGCGAAGGAGGGACACATCAGCCGGGTTTTGCGTATACGATGGATGCATTTGCTTATGAGTAACTCCTCTATCCCCGACAGTATTTCTTAAATTGCAAATAACGTAACTGTATAGATGGGACAAGAGGCATATTGCCCAGCATTATAGTACCGCCATTTACGACAGCTGCAGCTAGGGCCTCGGCTCGGTATCAGTGTAGCGGTCAAAGGTAAGATCGTGCGGAGATGCAGCCGTCATCTACGTCGGTTGTCTAGGTCTCCGCCGTGTTGCGTTTATAACAATGGGCGAAGCTACATCTTATAAAACACACAGTCGCCTCTACATAACTATATAGTTAAAAGCTGTAGACAACAACTTCAAGGAAAGCCCTTCTAGACAGTTTCCTTGTATCTCTTTTCTGAGAGAAAGTCTTTTGGAATATGCCAAATAACGGCACAGCCTGCAAGGCCGCTGCCAACACGTGACGTGCATTCAACATGCATTATAATGGTGTGACATACTTATTAAGGTTACTAAGCTAATATTCCCATACCCGAAAGTTGTGAGAGGTCATATTTTCTCTTATATCTGGGTTCAATGGGGCATGGTGCCGGGTAATATACAGGGGGTAGCTTACTAGTCGGCTATCACCAAGCTGTAGGCCCTGTTTACACACTCCCGAGCTGTCCGAATGCACACTATCTAGTTCGCTGAAAAGGAGATGAATAAAGTTAATGAGCGCGATGTAATTGAGGCTTAATTATAACATATTGCTACATAGTTAATATGATATAGTATATATTATAGGTTATGAAGAAACGACCTGTGTTAAGTCGGATATGTACCTAGATCCCACCATGACATATGCCTGTCTTGGCGTCCCCGGGGGGAAGAGGGGCATATGCGCTTACCAACTTACTTAGATCAATTAGGCAGTACTGAAACGTAACACAAAGAAGAGACGGAGAGGGAAAAAAAGAGAAAGAAAAAAAAGGGAAGTATTTTATTGCAAAAGATAAATTCACTCCGAATCGGGGAATCGAACCCCGGGCTTGACGGCACTTTTCTACGTTTAGCACGAAGATGAGAGCGTCAAATGTTAGCCACTACACCAATTCGGATTCAAATGAGCTAAGCTGCCCACTAGCGGAATCGAACCGCTGATCTTGTCATGACAGCTAGGAGTACTAGTGACACGCTATACCACTTAGCCAAGCGGGCGATGTTGATTGGACGATGGAATTCGGCGATTTGAAACAGGCTTATACAGGTACACGGAGGAAGAAAGCCGTTTCATAACTCTGAGTATATTCTTCACATACGCAGGCGTTGAAACATACGTTCGCTATCACGATCCTTAATTATACTAGGTGTTGCGATCGACTTGCTTACCACGCAACTCTCAATTTTGTTAAATACATTCACGGGACCCTTTCCTAGATCCCTAGCACCTCAATCAACAGCGTAGATGTGTGAATGTGTCAATGGAGGAAGCTCCAGAGTGAAGATAGGTCACTATAGGGTAGCAGCTAGGTAGCAGTTGGGACGTAGTATAGGGGTAGGGCTCAATATCATTGATTCCTGGGCCCTCTCCTCAGATGTGAGGGAGGTCTCCTCTCCTTATATAATAGTAGACCTATAATACAGTCACCCCAAGGGGTCCATCTCTACACCTGCGACCTGGTTGTCTGACAGAATGGTTGCTACTGCATGAGGAGATCTTCACTTCTTCTCCTTATGCTGACTCGTCCTGTAGTCGGCATGTTTCTTTACATTTAGGATGAAACCTTAATGCATAAGTTGTAACTAAAGTGACATCTACCGGAAATTCTTAACGGATCAATTGGTATTTTTGGTTATCAATGCTCCCAATGAATGGATCTCGCAAGATAACATCAACATATTTCATAAAACCATTAATTTGAGTCCTGCCAGCTTGAGGCAAGATCATGATAAGGTCATTAAGCCTTTACTTATAAGTGCGAAGATATCATACCGAAATTCAAGAAAGGAAATAGGAAATGAGGTCGTCGAATTTGGCCTCTACGCCATTGGAAACATGTTCAGGCTGTAGACTCCAACCCGAGTCGTAAAGAATTAAGAGATTTTTGATGTCATTGGGAAGTGTGAATGTCAGAGGGATTGGTCACAGAGTGAATAGATAGCTAGCCTACGGCTAGGAAGAAGTATAGTATAGAGCTAAATAGAGTAGTCGATTGGGGCCCAAACCTCCTAGGTCCCTAGGGGGATTTGGCACTTATATATATAGCTAGATCTTATGAAATATAACTACTCTACGGGTTGGTTGTATAGTCGCCTGACAGTGAATATCATTATGAACCCTCGGCACCGAGGTGGGACCTTGGCCGGACAGCCTGGAGGACATTGTCACGATCTTGACTACCTACGACCACATACCTACGCCTCCAAGGTACAGAACAAAGAGGCTGCTTGTATATAGATATCCAGTCATTGGAAGTAGTAGTTAGGCCTCCTCGTGCGTCAACAAGTATACAGGACTTACCCATATATTGTCATTTGTACCAAGAAGCCCGTGACAGACGTAAGATGTAACACAGGCTTGGAATCAAGGAATTTGAGCGATATTTGTGTTCCCAAGAATCTAATCGGAGGCCGCAGGTCCTGGAAAGTCCTCCGCTCCTTACAGCCTACCTAAGAAGCCGATAGGTCATTTCTCGTCCAATATACTAGAGGCCGCCTTCTCACTTTAATTACCTTCACATACTATTTCCCAATTTTAAACAGGCGCCAAAGAGCTTTCTACTAAAGCCTAGAAGTCCTTATGCGGCTTCAAGTCTGTGAGGCAATTACATCGTCGTAAGAATTCACTTGGATAAGCCTAGGCTACGGAGTAGCTAGCTATAGGTACTTTATAAAGCGGTGAATACTCCATCCTGGGATGCGAAGAAATGTCCTGATATCGGTCGCAGGCCAATCACGCGAGCGCGTTTCAATATATATTTCCAAGGTCTGCATGTAGCCCTTTAAGAAATCTCCATGTTATTAACATACGCCTATGTAAGGAATTAGGTCCTGGAACTAGGAGGGGTGAAAAGGCGTGCAGGCTGTATAGGTGTATATAAATTACTTCTATGCAGCGAGTAGTGGCATCGAGGGCCTGCCTAGTGACCAAACGACCAAATAACAATGATGGAAGGTCCGGTGGCGCAGGTGTGCGAAATACGCAATACCTCCTATATTTGATCATGAGTTTCACCAACTTTACGCATTAAGTACCGTACCTTTAATGCTAGCCATGCCCTTCCATAACAATTTTCCCTGGCCTCCATCGCACCGACATAAGTTGTCGGGGCTTTGTGTGTGGAACGCGAGTCGTGATTTTAATCAAGTACATGCGACGTAGGACGAGCCACGGATATGAATATAGACATTGAGATATGGTGGGTTGCTAGGCTGCATGGAGCACGAGTGGATTTACTAGATAAGAGTCTTTTTGTACGTCGTTTTTCTATTGTATGTTTAGACACAATCTAGTGTCTAATTGCCTACTTTCTAAGGGGCCATCCCTGAGAACCATTTAGGAAGGTGACAACTTCCCTCCGAGTTAGATCTCGAGATGTAACATCTTTAAGTGTCTAGAGTGTGGTATACACGTTCTGTTTTAATATATAGATACCTACTATTATGTCGCTGGCTTACAGTACTCCTAGGAGTATAGAATATTAGGGGAAGAAGAAACGGGATATGTATACGTTGTGTTTTAAGTCTAGCTCGCGCGCTCATCTCTTGTCACTAAATCTATACCTACGGCTTCCACCATCAACAGTCACTTTACGTGTGCAATGAATGAAAATACCCAATGTAGGGCACATATAATGTTAAAAAGATTGCTACCTTTCAGCCTTCTTCCACGGAAAAAAAAAGTGGGATGACTCAGTGGTTACAGACGAAGCCGACCATGGCGTTCTGGGGGAACGTAAGAGTGCATATAAATCTGCATCAGGACGACGATTCCTTTTGCCTTTTTAGGTCTCTAGTTCAGTTTGGCCTCTTTCCACTTTTTTCTCCGCCAAATAAAGAAGAAGCGGTTAACCATGGCCATTTAATGCTCGTTTATACCTTTTCCTGGGACTGGTGTCCTATAGCGAGACCCTGGTATATTGTCACTATACTTGCTGCTGAGATCAATCACAGCAAGTTATTATAACTGCGCACCTAAATCAGAAATATTATTATATATAGAAGTAACCTAGGAATGTAGGATCACAGTGCCTCCGTTGCCCTTCTGAGTCATCCCACTGCTCTGCTATACCAATGCAGCAGTTATGATATAGGTCTCGAGTGCAAAGCCAAGCGCGGAGTTTGTCCTATTTTCAATAGTATAAAGATGAACATGAACTTTTACTCTTGATTTACTCTCTTTGCATTCGGAGACATTGGTAGTCAGAGTATAAAGTTCTACTTCATAATGCGCGCTCACGATCCTATATAGGTTATAGCAGCATAGAAACAACATGCCATGTGACAGGTACTTAAAGCCTCGCACACCGTTAAGGGGTACACGTACATCTAAAACGGCATATCAGTATCAGTAGCACGTTACCCATCGCAGGAATCTATTAAGAGTCACAGACAGACAGACACTCCTCGTCCGTAGAACAAGTCAAATAAGAACATCATAAAGCCCGAACGGCACATAGCCTATAAAGCGAGCAATTCTACGCCTAACTAAACAAGATGAGCAGACTAACCTAATAGCTAAACGTCTGATCCGATAGCGACAGCCTTCATGAAGGGAGTAAGCCCGGCGCTGCAATGCGCATTCGATATAATAAAAGCATCCCCCTAGAACTTAGAACGTGAGAAGAACAAACTCCGTATGCGTCCTCACTGCAGACCTAGGGTATCCTCCCCTTCTCATTATCCATACTAAATAAAACCCATAATAGAAACCACAGCCGATCCAATATAGTCCCACCCGCACCTCTTTGTAGGAGCACCAGCCACCCACAGACTGTGCCACGATGAAAAGAATGAATCGCAGACAGACAAGAAGAAATCAACGTTGCCAACCAAATATTCCCAACATGATACACGCCTCGCGGCCCTAATCGCTAACGTAGAATCCATACCTCGTAAAACCATAAACGTAAACCTTCCCAAGAACCGTTCTCGCTTCGCCACTTACTGCCTCATGCATGCGTTCGTCCTCTACAGTCGTCTCCTAGTCTTCCCTCTAGGCCTAGACACCTTAACCACGTTTATGATGCGGGGCATAGGGGCTCCCGGATGCGGTAGGGTCCCGAATGAGTTCCCGCCGATACCGCCGCGTCCCCCGAACGCGCCAGTGCTACCTCCCCTACCCCGCCCGCGAGTGCCGCGGCCCCTTCCGACTGGATACCCGTGGCCCCCTATAAGAGGATGTGACATTGGCGGTGGCGGTGATACTGTTGGCTGAGCTGGCTGTGGGACGAAGGTGGGTGTCTGGAACGGCCACATGTGCTGCACGATGACCATACCCGGTTCGATCGTATCTTCCCACAGTTCCGGGAGCACGACGAACGACGACTTTTCTTGCTGCTGGAAGGAGCTACTGCTGCTTGATGGGCCCGGCATCGATGAAAAGCCAGCGGGATATGAGCTCGATGCTCCCGCCGCTGAAGTTGAGGCATGCGCGATGACTGGTGCTGGAGACGGCGCAAGAGGCGGTTCTTCATTGGTGGGATCCATAGAAAAAGGCAGATTGACCGATAGGTCGTAACGGCCCGCCAACACGTGCGGCCCAAGGACTTCAATGTACTTGAAGCAGTTCTCAACCAGTTTCTTCATTCCCTGCAAGTCCGTAAGCAAAAACAAAAGAAATGGAATTAAACGAAAGGTCTATCCGAAATTGGCAGGATCAGACCGTCAAATCGGCGAAGCAAGGGGCTGATACTTACTGCCCATGTTTTGGCCTTATCCCAGGGGAAGAGGAAGTTGCGCCCAACGGCATCTCGAAACCGGATCGGCAGCTTCTGTGGCGGCCGTCCCGTTGACTTCTCCCAGCCAGGGTCACCGGGACTCAGCGGTCGGAAGGGCTCTTCTCCTTCAGAAGTCTCGGATAAGGACTTTGTCTCAGCCTCCGGGTCTGCCTTCTGCTTTTGCTTCTGCTTCCACGACATGCCTGTTAGCGACGAGGTGGCGGCTGAATCATAGTCATCTGCCTCTTCGAAAACGCTCGATGGATAGCTGGCGTCTTG